AATGTCTAGTTTATTGATATTTTTGAAAGAACAGAAGCTTGGCAAGATACATCGGTGCTCTAATGCATAATTTAGTCTTTCCCTCAAAACATCGCCGAGACACTCACATTTTTAATCACTGATCTGCGCTTGCTATGAATTCTGTCTTGGACTGACCTTCGCCGCTGCCCATCATCTGAAATCGTTTTTAACTCATATACGGATCTCACTTAAACGATTGTTACTTTTAACCGCGGTATACTTTGATTTTTTGATTTTTAGTCTGAATCAGACGTAATTACTGGCAGATTCACGGGACAATGCCGAAATACACGGAATCAGTTCCAGCTCAGATCGGCATAACCACAGCCAACTCTATCCTCGCTGTCTTAAACATCGTTGGTAATTGCCTGGTTTGCCTTGTCGTGATAAAGCACCAAGACATGAGGTGAGACGTTATTTTCTTTTGTTTTCCTAGAAAATGAAATGAATTGTCGAAAGCCATTTAGTCCAGCCGGCCCTCTCGAGTTCCTATTAAAGTGCTACAAATTTACAAATAACTGAAATGAAAACAAGAAATAAAAAAAGAAAAGAAAGAAACGCAGTTATTGCCAACGTCGTGTTTGAATTTCTGAGCGTGCGTTTTCGATACTTTCTTTTTTTGAAAACAAGGTCTTAGGTATGATAATTTACGATCAATTGCAACATAGGGTTTTCCATGCAACCTTTGATGCATTTCGCATGCATGCAATTTCTGTGTAATTGTTGAGGTCCATGACAATTGGCTTCACACTGGAAGTTAAGTTAGTTTCAAGTAAGCACTTGACTCAAGTGCACTTGGAAATCTGAAATCGCACGTTAAAAAGTTTGGCTTCACACCTGTGACAAAGTATATTACTTGAAGCATTTGGGCAGTAAAATCGGTCATACATATCACAAATGCAAATGTTCGGCAGTAAAATCGTGAAGAAATGCATATAGTTGCTTTGTTGCTAAAGAGTACATAGGAGCAACACAAAGGTACAAACAAAACCTTCTGTATTTCTCTAGAAAAGCTCATCAACGCGGATTTCGGCAACTGAGAAATTGCTATAGGGTTTTAGTTAACCGAGACATGGATGCGCTATGGAAATGCACTTCCGTGTGACTCAAGTGTAGTGTAGACCATACTGAATAATAATGACAACCAACTTTATTTGAGGGTAGCACACAACAGTAATCACTGAAATACCAGTGGCCCTCGTATAAATATTTACAGAATAAAAAGACGAGGCGTTAAAAATTAAAAATATAGAAACTGATTTTCAAATATGCAACCATTACATAAAAAACAAAAAAAAAAAAAACCAAAAAACAAAAAAACTAAGATATGAAATACACTACAATGTTAAAAAGCAAAGCATTGGATCAAGTCTGACAATTAAAACAAGAAAATTAAAAATTAAAAATTTACATGATAAAATAATCCAATTCCTTGTAACTGTCCATAAAATGTTTAAAAATGAATTTTTGGGAGCGCACCTCGGCTTTTTTGAACTACGAACGTTTCCATGGTCACCAAGTAAAGTCTAAGTAAGTGCATTTTACCCCTTCTCACTAAAAGTAGGTTCCAAGTGCATTTAGAAGCTCTAGTGTGAAGCCAAGTAATTTTTCTCACTTCCGAATTAGCATGCACAGAAAGTGAATTGAATTCATAATTTTTTGCTTATACCCGTGTTACAAAAAGGTTTTTTTAGTTATTGATATGGGCCAGCACCTCAGTTAACATTTTATCGCCGAGCTATCTTTCGTGGCCCTTACTTTCTTAGCAATTTTACAGTCCTCTTTACTTTCAATGAATGAGCAGTCCTTGAAAAGGGAAGTCAAGGTCATTCCCCAGTATTGCATTGGGCATCCTTACTGCGCATAGTTTATGGCGTAATTAGCGCGCGTTCATCCACGCGCACATTGAAAACATCGCGGATTTTCCTTGATATTGAGTTGTGTCAGTTGAAAAATGGCTATAGCTCACTAACGGGCTCGGGCACCCCCAATTTTTTTTCCAGTCATTTTAATCAACTAATCATAAACTTTGCGTGAGAAAAGACTGATCTGATTTCTATTGTTGAAAATTGAATAAATAAGGAAAATAGCAGCTGCACTGTAGTTTTTTCTATTTTGCAGTTCGATAGCCGTGGCAAGCAATTTGGTTCCAATATTTTAACAAGGATTCAGCTGTCTGTCAAAATCAAACTTAAAAAGTTAGTTGTGTCCGACTCAAGTATTGTCTGTAGTTTGAGGCGTGTTTTCATGAGTCTGGACTCACAAAGAGTTTACAATAACTTGGAATACGCTCTTGTAATAAGCATTAAATAACGCTAGAATGGGACATTTTCGATGCCTCACTGCTCCTTAACGAGCATGGGCACCCCCTTTTTCATTTTATAAATAAAGTTCTCATATGATAAATATTCATTGGACAAAGTTTGAACCAAAATCTATGTGCAGTTTTATTTCAGGGGAATTACCTTAAGGGCTACGACGCGATCGTCAACGAGAACAATATTATTGGTTAAAAGAGGAAACGTGAGCCTGCTGCACGTCTGACACGCATTTTAGCACATACTTTTGCGGTACTCTGCACAAAAACGACGTGAAATCACCAAATTGGAGGTTTTGACGACAACGCGAGCGTACAAATAGAAGCTTTCATTCTCTATTTTTACTCTGAAACCGCTCGTACAAATATATAATATTAATACGATATTTTGCCCATCGTAAGAAACGCAGGAGATAGATTAATCTCGAAAGACCTGCGACAGTGAAAATTACATTTTGAAATGACGTTTTCGTCGATGTCGCCGTCTTGAATGGTAAAGTTTCCAGTTTATTTAAAACACTTGATTGAGGACGCAAAATGACGCTGTCGCATATGGCAGCCATTTTTCAGGATTTCAGATTCGCTGTGTCCTTCACTTTCAATTTCCCCAGGGGCAGTCATCTTCAACCTAAAAATATGCGATTCTACAACTGCCAGGGATTTAACATTCATTTTAGGTGGTCTAATACCTTACCCTTACCAACCTCCTTCCAAGGTCGGCGTACTGTATGCTTTGTATTTGTCTGCGGCAACTTGAATCGAAGTGAAAAAAGTCTTAATATACTGTACGGATCTAAAATAATTAGATGACAAAATTGATTCCATTCCTTCATCCTCAAATCAACTGGTACAAAGCAGAATAGAGCAGGCTGTTCTGAAGACGTCGGCCACAAATATTAGCCAATCTCAGCACTCGTTATATGACAGATCATGTGATTTATTTAATTTCACAGAACTTCCGTCAACTATCTTCTCATGAACCTTGCTGTTGCTGACATGCTTGTGGGACTATTCTTTACACCACAATACATCTTCATGCATATGTTTACTCATCCTGGCGGTGTGACTGGCACAGTCCTTTGCAGACTGTTGACAGGTAGCAACGTGGCCTGGGTAGGAGGTGCCACATCCGTGTTCACATTGGTTGTCATAGCAATTGAACGCTACAGTGCTGTCATGGATCCATTTGGAAATAGAGGAAGGCTTACGACACGCAGACTTAAGGTAACATGACCTGACATGAAGGGTAACTTCACATTAAGAAATTTAAGGCAAGCAGCCCTTGACGCAGCCTGCAGTGCAGGCGTACTTGTAAAAGTAGGCGACTTAATTTCATTCTCGAGCTCAGAGAAATTTGGCCACCATCTTAAAATTCAAAAGGTTTAGACCTACAGCACCATATATAGTGTCTCGCTAAAAGAAAACAGAAGTTTACTCAACGCGACGTCTTCGTAGTGTCAGATTTTAACCCATAAAAATTACAACGTTTGTCAGGTAGTTCCGTGATAATAATTGAAAGTCTTGAAGTTTCCCATTAAAATTTGCCAAAAAGATCTAGTTTTTTTACATTGCCAAAAAAGATGGATCAGATTTTCGATCTAGTTAACTCAGGAAAAGCTACTTGGATCTTGCTTGATACCCATTTTTGTAAGAAGCGTGTTGGTAGGCAGAATTCTGTGTAGAAGTCCATACTTAAAATTGATGGGTCTTGTGCTTTTGGTGCAGCTAACTGCCAAAGTGTAAGCAGACCTCCAATCCACATCAGTGCTATCATTCAGGTCAAGAGCAATACTGTCGTTCCACTTTTTTGACTTTTCACTGGTACCCTACTTGTAAAAGAGACAATTTTATCATGAACAATCCTGTTTCCTTTAAAACCTTTTATAAATAAATTAAGAAAGGATTCAGGCTTAGCTGCATCATTGGATTCATTTGCTAGGTTCATTTCTGGTGAAGATGTTTAATGCCAGATATAATTCCAATATATTTCAAAGGATTTAAAAGTTGTAAGTCGGATCAAAGTTTGATCTGATTGGCGTAATTGTAACCTTAAAGGGGCTCGGTCACGGTATTTTGAGTTATTTTGGCCACATACAAAATTACCTTTAAATGGTGGGAAACTTGAAAAAAACAGTTTAATAACATAGAAAAACACCAAAGAGATAATGATAAACCATAAAACAACAAGGATGGCGAACGATCGAGAAGATTGACACGGATTACAAACGACGAATTTGAAAACTGAGGCTAAACTTTTCAAACGCAAACCGTGACTGAGCCCTTTTAAAAAGTGGATATCTAGAACTAGAGCCGATGCAACGAAGAGTTCATTAGTTTGTAGTGTACCAGCTCAACCAGCCTTCTTCAGTTACTCTTGTTATACCTTAAGAGGGCTGATTTGGCTGGTACACTACTAAAAAGTCGACTCTTCGTTGTATCGGCTCTATCGCTCTTGATATCCTCTTTTCGTAATATGGATAATCGATTCTTTATCACTGGATTTACTATGCTTTTCCAATGACAACTTTTCATGGTATATGCAACGTTCATTCCTTCATTACATTGTTTTTGGTATGAATATCAGTTCTAGTATCGAACCGTGATGACAGTGACGTTCCCAGAAAGTGTAGTTGTCTTGCCCTGATCCTCACTGAGCTTGGAGGGATTTTCCCTCTCCCTTCATCTTTGTTTGTACATGCTTCTTAATTGTGAACAGAGCTAAAGAGAAGTGTTTTAACGTCTTACCTGGAACACTTAACAACAGTTTGAACAGCGGACGTTCACTTTTATTTCAGGTGATCATTCCGTGTTCCTGGCTTTTTGGATTGGTGATTAATTTTCCAGGTTTTTTGGTCAAGAATTTTGACGCAAAAGCAGCTTTCTGCATCAGACGATACCCTGAGGAATGGATGGCCAAAACTTATACGCTGATTTGGTTTCTTCTATTGGCGTTTTTTCCGGTTGTGATAATGGCCGCACTTTACTCCAGAGTCGTTCATACTTTATGGTTTCATCGCCCACAGCACCATGCTTTCGACAGTCGTCAGCAGGTAAGGTTAGAGGAAGGAAAAGTGTTAGACTGCTTCAAAAGCGGATGAGGTAAGGGAACATATCCTCATGCCTCATGATACTATTTTAAGCTTCGCGCCATGCTGTGAAAGTTTTGGTCTCGTGCCCATGGTCGCACAGCCAGTGATCACAGGATCTAACCAATCAGGTGTCATTCTTAAAATAACCCCGCGTCATGACCACGGGATAAATTTAGATTGAAGAAAATTATCATTAGAAGAGACCCATTTATGGTGGATATGTTCTCTCACCTCATCCTCTCTTGCATGCTTACACAGTCAGTCAAGCAACTTGTTTCTTTAGTTAATTGTGTCATGCAGTTGAGAAAAACTGCAGAGGGAGGCATTCATTTCTCATGACTGCGTGATACCGAACGCGACTGAACAGTTACTGAACAAAAATGAACGCCCAACTTGAATAAACGAAACTTATTCGTACACGAGGTTGCGAGCGCGCCACATGACTACCGTGGTTCAGTTGACCAGTGGTTATCAATATATGTCACGGGAAATGTATTGTCACCCAACACGCTACACCTTGAATGTCCGTTTGTGATTGGATAGTTTAAAGATGTTAAAAAAAAAAAAAAAACAATTTTTGGTCACCAGGGAGTGCTAAAAGTGCGGAAGCGAGTCACCCTCATGGTCGTCACAGTTAGTGCCATATTCGCAATGTGTTGGATGTCTGGAGCAGTCACCTATCTTGTGGCTTTCTTTTCGCCCGTGTTTGGCGCTGGTGATGTTGCGTATGTCACACAATCTACAGTGGTCATGTTTAATTCCGCTGTCAACCCAATTGTGTATGCTTTGATCAATCAACAGTTCAGCAAGAAGATCAAGTACATGATGTGCTGTAGATGTCGCCCTGGGATACACNGGTCAAGAATTTTGACGCGAAAGCAACTTTCTGCATCAGACGATACCCTGAGGAATGGATGGGCAAAACTTATACTCTGATTTGGTTTCTGCTATTGGCGTTTTTCCCGGTTGTGATAATGGCCGCACTTTACTCCAGAGTCGTTCATACTTTATGGTTTCATCGCCCACAGCACTATGCTTTCGACAATCGTCAGCAGGTAAGGTTAGAGGAAGGAAAAGTGTTAGACTGCGTGAAAAGAGGATGAGGTAAGGGAACATATCCTCATGCCCCATAATACTATTTTAAGCTTCGCGCCATGCTGTGAAAGTTATTTTGGTGTCGTGCCCACGGTCGCACAGCTTGTAATTAGAGAATCTAAAAAATCAGGTGTCATCCTTAAAATAACCCCACGTCATGACCACGGAATAAATTGTGATTGAAGAAAATTATCATCAGAAGAGATCCATTTATGGTGGATATGTTCTCTGACATAATCCTCTCCTGACTGCTTACACAGTCAGTCAAGCGATTTGTTTCGTTAGTTAATCGTGTCACGCAGTTGGGAGAAACTGCAGAGGGAGGCATTCATTTCTCACGACTGCGTGATACTGAACGCGTCTGAACAGTTACGAACAAGAATGAACGCCCAAGTTAAATAAACGAAACTTATTCGTGCACGAGGTTGCGAGCGCGCCATATGACTATTACTACCGTGGTTCAGTTGAGCAGAGGTTATCAATATATGTCACGGGGAATGTATTGTCACCCAACACGCTACACCTTGAATGTCCGTTTGTGATTGGATAGTTTAAATATATTTTAAAAAAACAATTTTTGGTCACCAGGGAGTGCTAAAAGTGCGGAGGCGAGTCACCCTCATGGTCGTCACAGTTAGTGCCATATTCGCATTGTGTTGGATGTCTGGAGCAGTCACCTATCTTGTGGCTTTCTTTTCGCCCGTGTATGGCGCTGGTGATGTTGCATATGTCACGGAATCTACAGTGGTCATGTTTAATTCCGCTGTCAACCCAATCGTGTATGCTTTGATCAATCAACAGTTCAGCAAGAAGATCAAGTACATGATGTGCTGTAGATGTCGCCCTGGGATACACTCTGTTAGAAAAGAGCGGAACTTGGACGATCTCAACCCAAGCGTAGTGCCAGTGCCAGAAAGAGAAGAGACCCAGTTGTAGCAGACTTAGTAAAATTGACACAATCGCGAGAAATTTGAAAAAAGTACCGTCAGAGCAATTTACAATCTTGCTCCCAGAGGACCTCATCCCAAACGAAAGGAAACGATACATGGAATAAGTAAATGAAAAACTAAATGACTGCATTCATAAGTTGCGCTTGCACAACACCATTTCCTTTGTAATTTCTACTAAACGGTTAGTTCCGCCAATTACAGGTACGGTAGTGACATTGAAGTCGATAACTGAGAAATGACAAAACAACCCAGAAATTGTTTTAGTTAAGGTATAAGCGACGTGACGTGCCTCGTTAGTTACCAGGTCACTTTTAGAAGATCATTATTTGTAAAATTCTCTTTAAGTGCACCGATCATAAAATAAAGCCCTGAACATCCAAGCTTTCAACGTGTTGTAGTGTCGAAGAGAGTGTGTAGAGAGCGAAGAGAGTGCAAAGCTCAATGAGTTTGGTGAAACATTTAAGAATTATCAAGCTAATTAAATGACTAAGTCGATTATAGATGAGAGAGGTGTGATTGCAACCAAAACGCAACACCTAATCAGATTCCGTCCGTGCCAAACTTTTTACGCGAAAATAGATTATTACTATACTTTTACTTTGACCTTAGTTTTGAAATATTTTCACACTTCTTTCACGTATATATATCTCATCGACTGTTATAGTATTACTAGCGATATGACATCTGCAAGAACGCTTACAGGACAGGACTCCTGACTGTGTTCCACTAACAAGCAGTCTTCCCCCGCAACGTTGGTTTTATCATCATCATCATCATCATCATCATCATCAT